GTCTCCCCTAGGTCGGCGCCCCGTGAGTTCACCGGGCTCTCGTTCGAAGGGGGCATGCGCGTCATCGGAGTCAGTTCTCGGAGGATCTGGAGGCTGAGGTTGGCCGTCGGTTTTGTCTTGGGCGCCGGGGGGGCGGCCGGCGGGGAGATCCGTGAACTGATCGGGCACTTCGCCTGGGCGAGTCTCTTGCGCCGCGGGGCTCTGTCGATCTTCGACGCTTGCGACAGCTTTGCCGAGGGCCGCCTGAAGTCCGTAACTCGTCTGTGGCCCGCCGTCTGCCGGGAGCTGCGCTGGATCCGTGACCTGCTGCCTATGCTGTCGCGTGGCGCGCGCATGCCCTGGAGTGAGCTGGTGCGCGTGAGCGACGCTTCGACCGAGGGTTTCGGCGTGTGTTGCGCTCGGTGGGGCGTTTCCGACGCCGCGCTCGTGGGGCGATGCGATAAGAGGTGGAGGTTTCGGGCGGAGGGGGCCATCGACGCCGGGGGGCACGCTTTGCGCCCCGATGCCCTCAAACTCGGCTCCGACGACTTGCGTCTCAACCCCTCGGTGCGGTCGGCCGCGGGCGCGGAGCCCTGGGAGGGCACTTCGCTCGATGAGGTGCCTGCAAAAGCGGTCGCTAACGCCCCCTGGAAGCTCTGCGCCCTGGGTCGCTGGCGAGAGGTGGGGGAGACCCTGGGGGTGGGGGGCAGGGCTCTGGTCATGGCCGTCCGACACCTCCTCCGTTCTCAATCTCATCATTGTCGGCGCGCCCTCGTCCTCGTGGACACTTTGGCTCTAGCTTTGTCTCTGGCGGAAGGCCGGGCGTGGCCTCGGCACCTCCCGCCCGCCTGCGTGGAGGTCGCGGCCCTCTCGCTCTTCAGTGGTTGCCGTTTCCACGTGCGCCGGGTGCCGAGTGAGCTGGGCCCAGCGGGCGTTCCGTCGAGAGGGCGGCGGGCGCCGAGTCGCATCGACTTCGAGCGGTTGGCGGAGGCCTACCGGGGCGTGCTTGAGCGGAAAACTGGAGCTGGAGGCGATGCAATGCGGCGAGAGCTCGAGCTGGCCGCGCTCCACGCCCTCGGCTCAGACTCCGACGACGAAGCTGACAGTGACAGTGACAGCTCCTCCTCGTCCGGGGGCGTGGCCCCCCTCGGCCCAGAGGGTACCCGCGGCTTCGAAGGGGCCGAAGGGATCTGGCAGCCACGCGAGCCTCTTGGCCTGGAGGCAGCATCTGACGCAGAGCAAGGATCGGGCGAAGAGAGGTGCCGAGCGCTTCGCCTTGGCCGCGCTCATCGCCCAGCTCCTCCAGCGGAGCGTGCTGGAGCTCTCGTCGGTGCAGCCTTCGACTTGGAGGATTACTTGCGTCGCCTGGGCTGGTTCAAGGAGTGCGTGGACCGCCAGAGCGAGAAGCTGGATCATAGCTCCCTCGACGAGGTCGCGCCCAATGGTTCGACGTGCTCTGCCGGAAGGGCCACTCCGCCAGCGACTGGTCAAAGTTTCTGGCGGCGCTGCAGCATCTGTGGCCGGAGCTCCGAGCGAGCAGCAGCTGCCGCGGTCCTGGCGGGCGATTCAGGGGTGGCGCAAGCTGCTCCCCGTCCACAGCCGCGCCCGGCTGCCGTTCGCCGGGCTGATGGGGCTCCTCGGCGGCCTGCTGTGGCTGGGGCACATCGAGGAGGCCGTGGCCGTTCTGGTCGCCTTCATGGGGTACCTGCGGCCTGGGGACCTTCGGTCTCTCGCCAGCGTCGCTTGTGCCGCCCGTCCTGGGGGCCGGGGGCTCGCCCCGCTGGGCTCTGGTGCTGGGCGCGCGCGAGCTCGAGCGCCGCGACAAGACTGGCGAGTTCGACGAGAGCGTGATCCTGGACTGGCCGGGCTACGAGTGGCTGGGGCTCTACCTGACTGCGCTGAAGGAGCGGCAGCCGCGGGGGTGCTTTTGGTCCTTCGACGCCGCGCGCCTCACGTCCGTGCTGCACGGCGCGGCTCTCGTGCCGGGGTGCACGTCTTGCACCCGCAGCTGTGCGGCGCGTCCTTCGATGCGGTGAGCCACGGGGGGCCCCTCGCCGAGATCAAGGAGCGGGGGCGCTGGAGGAGCGACGCCTCGGCCCAGAGGTACGAGAAGGCCGCGCTGGCGCTGAGGGGGCCCGCCCGGCTACCGGCAGGGGCGCTCGCATGTGCCCAGAGGGTCGAGGCGGATCTGCAGGCCTTCTTCCTCGGGGATCGGCCGCCGCCAGTGCCGCCGCTGGCCGCGACGCGGCCGAGGCGCTGAAGCAGCGAGCGCATGGCGGCAGAGCTGGCCTGGGCGAGGCGCGAGCGCCAGAGCGGCGGGCTTTTCTGGAGGTCTTCGCCGGCGCCGAACGGATCGCAGGGCGCTTGCGGTCGCTCGGCGGCGCTGCCGTCGCGGTCGAGGCGCGCGACTGCCATCTCCACGGCCCCGCCTTCAGGCCAGTCCAGGAGGTTCTGCTCAGCTGGATCAGGCAGGGGCTGATCGACGGAGTACGGCTTGTCACGCCGTGCGCGTCCTGGAGCGCCGCTCGGCGCGGGCAGGCAGGCCGCCCGCGCCGAGGCGGCCCGCTCCGCGACGCCGAGCACATCTGGGGTCATCCAGACGCCTTGGAGCGCTCCGCCGACCGCGAGCGCATCGAGGTCGGCAGCGCCGCAGCCCGTTTCACCATCTCCGTCATCAGAGCTTGCGTGCGCCACAGAGTGGCAGTGTTCCTCGGGAACCCTGCGGGTTCCGCTCGTTGGTCCACCCCTGCCATGGCCAACTTGTGTGAACGCCTGTGCAGCACGAAGGTCATCCTTGATTATTGCCAATACGGGGCTGTGTACCGAAATCGGACCCGCATCCAGGGATGGCGTGTCGCGGGGCTCGATCAGCTTCGCCGCATTTGCTCTGGAAAGAAGGGGTTCTGCTGTCGTACTGGCTGCCGCCGTCAACTGTTAGAAGGATCAAAGTTGACCAGCAGCGCCGCCGCATGCCCCAGTAAGTTCGCCCTGCCAAGCCGCCGCCGTGATTTTCAAGTCAGTTGCTAATTCGAGCCTGGAGAAAATGTGGCCCCTGATTCATCCTTAGTTTTTGCGGCCCTTGGCCAGAGTCATAGTATGCGTGTAGATGGAGCTTCTGTGTCTTACGTCCCGCTGGCGCATCTTGTGCCTGTTCGATCAGCCTTGCGGGAAGCGGTACCTGCAGCCAGATCTGCTCCTCGCACAGAACACATGTGCAGTCCTGGGAGAGCGTTGTCTGGCGAAGGATTGTAGTTCTGCGAACGGGCATCCTGGAATCAGTCCAGCTCTTCTTGCCACCGTCGCACGGTGCCGTATTGATGCTCGAGTCGCTCCCTCCCTCCCGCCCCTCCTCTCGCTTTATCTTTCCAATCCACCTGGAGCTTCTGTGTCTTACGTCCTGCTGGCGCATCCCGTGCCTGTTCGATCAGCCTTGCGGGCATCGGTACCTGCAGCCAGATCTGCGCCTCACACAGAAAATATGTGCAGTCCTGGGAGAGCGTTGTCTGGCGAAGGATATGTATAGGTATATGTATATGCATATGCATATGTATATGTCTCTCGCTCTCTCTCTCTCTCTCTCTCTCTATATATATATATATACACATCCAAGTCCAGGTAAATTTCTCGGGTTGGCCAAAACCTGGCCCATCCCTCCTTCATTGGGGTGTCGGCCATCGTGACTTTCGGCCCAAGAGAGCCCTCAGAGCGACTTCGAGCCCCCCCCAGATTGCCCAAGAGGCACTTCAGACGCTCTGAGATATCTCCAAGACGCCCAAGAGAGGCCCAAGAGGGGACCCGAGACGGCCCAAGGACGCTCCAAGATGGCCCAGTACGGCCTCAAGACAGCTCACGAAACTCCCAAGCCGCCCCCAAAGGCCCCCAACAGGACAGCCGAGAGTGTCTGAGGTGGCCACTGATTTGTTTTCAGGTTTTTGACATGTTCTAGTTCCTGCCTTTGCTGGCCAAGAGCGGCCTAATCCGGCTTGGACGGCCTCCGAGGCCGCACCAAAACGGCCCAACGGACCGCACAAATCGCTCCGAGTCGGCCCATAGGCCTCCAAGAGGGCCGGCGGACGACCCAAGCGTGTCATACTGCGCAAGAGGGCCCCAAGACCGCCGACGAGGGCCCCAGCACGGACCGACAGAGCCTCAAGATGCCCCCAAGAAAGCCTCACGAGGGCCCCCCCGAACCCCCCATTAGGCCCCCACGAGAGCACAAAGACAGCCCAAGCCCCGCAAGACGGCCCAGAAGGGCCCCTGGGTGGGGGAGTGGGCAGGACCTCCGCGGTTTCTGGCCGCCGAGTCCTTCGGGGCCTTTGCGCAGTGCAGGCGGCACGGCGCTCCGTGGCAGGCGGGGGGCCCAGGCCCCCCCGTCGAGCTGCAGACCCGCGTGGGCTCGCAGGCCTGCGTCCTCGAGCGTCGCCCCCGTGCAGCCGACGAGTCGGAAGGAGAGCAGCGAACGGCAGGGACGCGCCGCCGGCGGGAGCCCGCCGGCGGGCCGCTCCCCCGTTTGGGTCGCGCTTCTTTCGACAGCAGTGTGCTGGTGACGAGCGAACAACACACACACCCATACCCATAATGGGGGTCGTTAAGAGGAGGACTGGCTATGGGTATGGGTGCGGGTTGTCGGACCCTAGGGAACGCTCCCGTTCGAGCGGGGATCCCCATCCGACAACACGCACCCATAGCCCTTTCCGAACCCCCGGTTTGTGTTGTTGGTTCGTCAGCTGGTGGATTCCCCACGGCCGCGCGCGTGGTGGGTGGTGGCCACTACACGCGCGATACAAGTTTCCCGAGCAGAGCGGCCCGCACCACGGCCACGGCGGCGCCGGCGGCGGCGGCAGCGGCAGCGAGGCGCGCAGAGGCGGCCCGCACCGCAGCTCTCCGAGCGCCGCGGCTCGGAGGGGCCCCCGGGGGGACGGAGAGGCGGGCGGAGGGGCGGACAGGCAGGCCGGGCGGCGGCGTGTCGCCGAGGCAGCTCGTGCGCCCCGCCCCCCCCCCCGCAAGAGTGGGGAGCCCAGGCTTCCGCATCAACTGGATGAACATGCGGGACGCCGCGACTGGCCGAGGCGCAGCACGCCCCGGGCCGCTCGTCTTCGCTCCTGGGGGCGGAGAGGGGTGCTCGGCGGCCCCGCCGCGGCGTGGTGGCCACCTCGGGTTGACCCAAGAGGGGGTCCAGCGACAAGGGGGCGGTGCAGCAGATTTGGTGCAATGGATTCGTGGGGCTGCACTACACTTGGGGCGCGCAACACGTTCCGGGGCGCAGATGCATGGCTGGACTTTCGTGTGCAACACATTGGTTGCAATACAATGCCATCCAATTCTTTGGGGCAATTCATTTGCAATGCAGTTGCCCCAAAACTATTGCACCCCCCCCTTGCAACTGGACCCCCTTTTGGGTTGCCGAAAACCGCGCCGCCTGGTGAGGCAGTCGGGATTCCTGGTCACCGCCTGGTTTTGGCACTCGGGTCGTTCTCCGAGGACGTCTCGGGCGGCTGAGGCCTACAGGGTCCCAAGACGGTGCGGCGAGGTCTCTTGGGGTTTCGAGATCACCGCGCGGTCTGCGTCACCACACGGTCGTGGAACCCCCGAGATTCCCCCTCACGGGCTCACTCTGCTTTGTGCCCTCTGACTCTTGTCTTTGTTCTGAGGCGCGCCCAGGGGAGGGAGGCAGAGGGGGCGGGCATTCTAAGAAAAGGCTCAGAAGGCCTCCAGCCTTCCGAGAAGGTTTCTGTGTCTTGTCCGACGCCACAGGGGGCCTCTCAGAAGGCTGGCGGGCTCCTCAGAAGCCCCGCCGCCTTTGAGAAGGCCTGCCCCCTTTCGCTTCCTGTGGGCGCGCCGCCGTTTTGTGGCCGCACAGAATCTGTGCATGTTGGTCTACGTCTCCTCTTACTTGGCTTGTTTTGGCGGATAAGCTGTCGGTTCTATGCACTTTGGCTTTCAGCAACCGTGCGATCATTCAATTATTGTTTATGCCTGTCTATCAGGGCTGTCTCCGTACGCGTCCGTGCGTGGTGGGCAATGTATCTGGAGCAGAGGAGGTGGATGAGGTTGCCAATGAAGAGGAGCAAGAGTATGTAAACATAGAGCAACGTGAACCGAGGCCGCAGAGTAGTGTGAGGGATGGCATACGAGGTTTGTTGGGGCAGTCGAAGCATCATCTCTACTTATTGTTCCTGATTCTTCATTCCGGAAATATGAAGATCTCCTCCATGGTGCCCTTCGTCAGACCGTACCTGACTCGTCTAACAAATCAAGCTTCAACATGGCTTCACGATCCCAACCTCTTCGCGCTGCTGCGCATGCAGCTTTCTTGCTTTCTGCACTCCATTCGCATTTTTTCCCTTCATCCCTGACCCTGTCCTCGCTCATCGCGTTGGCACATTGGAATCGCAAGTCGTCGAGATTCGTTACCCCTTGTGCATCGTGGGTTTCCAAACGATTCCCCGTGTCTGACAAGTTATCTAGTTATTGACTTAGAGTGGCAGCGCCATAGCGAACAACACGACGAACGACCTTCTGTTTTTGTCGTGATTGTGTGCTGCCTGGTTTGGCAGATTTTCGGCGGCGAGCGAGCGGGTGAAGTGAGAATGAGAAGGCCTTCTCGGAAGGCGGCGGGGCTTCTCAGAAGCCCTCCGGCCTTCTGAGAACTTTTTTGTTTCTTCGGGGAAGGCTTTTCCCATAATGTGAATCCGCATTTTCCTTTTTCTCGAAATGTGAATTCACATTCTGGCCCCTTCATAAAGATTCCCATGCAGCACTCCAACATGTGAATTCGCATGTTCCTTTTTTCATTTGAATTCACATGTTCATTTTCTCGAAAATATGAATTCACATTTTGCTTTTCCTCACAATGTGAATTCACATTTTGTCCTGGCCCTCAAGATCCCCCAAACTGAGGCGCAGTGTTCCGCATGTCAGATTGGCTGGGCAGATTTTGATAGTCACCTCACCGCTTTCGTTTATTCCAACCTTCTCTTTTTGCGCCCTCAGCGCGCGTTGCCTTCGTCGCCTTTCCTGAGCCCCCCGCCTCCTTGCTTCGTTTACCTTCAAGTCTCGCGCATGGGTGCAGACGGGGAGCTTCAATGGGCTCCGCAGCCGAACACAGCAATCGAGGATGTATCGCCCATGCATGGCCCATAGAGACATCATTGCCGGGGCCCTGCGCCCGACCCCCACTTTCACCCTCCAAGAAATGGCCCGCCCCTTCTCACTTCCCCCCCTCGCTCGCCGCCGAAGTGAGGCAATACGTTTGGATCCCGTAGTCGGTGTGTTCTCTTCCAGCATCTTTGAGTCCTTGCCGCGCCATAGTTCCCTCCGCCCAGCCTCTGTGACTCACAACAGGTAGAAGATCTGAACGGTGTGTCTGTGACCACAGCAGAGTGAGATTCCCAGCAAAATTTGCAGCGTATCGTATACAGTCAACGCGCCTAGTAAGGACGCCCGCCTTCATCTAGGGGTACCCTTGTGTCCTTGCCTCTGCGGCCCCTCCTTCGCCGTTTTCACTGGTCGCCTGGTCGCCCGCCGCCCACAACAAGTGCCAGTTTCGGCTTCCATTGGTCTTGCGTCCTCGCCACGCGTCCTTCATATACGTGTTGATTGTACGCCGGCAAATCGCCGACTATGCCAGCTGTTGGGCTTAAGTCGGGCGTGTCCCTCTACAAAGGGAATACTTGACATTGTTGCAATATATGAGTTTTCTAGGATTTTTGTTTTTTTTCGTTAATTCCCTACCTAGGCTCTGCCTAGAAGGGTTCTTACTCGCTTTGCTTAAAGGGCCGGGCAGTGGAAAGCGCCCCGGGCGGTTCCCCCGGTTGCGCTCGGAGCGGTTCCCCCAGTTGCGCCCTTTAGCTTTAGCTTTAGCTTTAGCTGTAGCATTAGCTTTAGCTTTAACTTTAGCTTTAGCTTTAGCTTAGCTTTAGCTTAGCTTTAGCTTAGCTGTAGTTTAGCTTTAGCTTAGCTGTAGTTTAGCTTTAGCTTCACTTTAGCTTAGCTTTAGATTAGCTTTAGCTTAGCTTCAGCTTATTTTTAGCTTAGCTTCAGTTTAGCTTTAGCTTAGCTTTAGCCTAGCTTTAGCTTAGCTTTAGCTTTAGCTTTAGCTTAGCTTTAGCTTAGCTTTAGCTTAGCTTTAGCTTAGCTTTAGCTTAGTTGTATCTTAGCTTTAGCTTAACTTTAGCTTAGCTTTATATTAGCTTTAGCTTAGCTTCAGCTTATTTTTAGCTTAGCTTTAGTTTAGCTTTAGCTTAGCTTTAGCTTAGCTTTAGCTTAGCTTTAGCTTAGCTTTAGCTTAGCTTTAGCTTAGCTTTAGCTTAACTTTAGCTTAGATTTAGCTTAGCTTTAGCTTAGCTTTAGCCTAGCTGTAGCTCAGCTTTAGCTTAGCTTTAGCT